TAAAACTATAAAACTTCTACAAAATATAGAAGACAATTTTGAGGACCTTGGGCTAGGTAAAAATATACAAACAGCAAAAATATTAAGGAGAGGGTTGTTACACATGACAAGCATGTGCCAAGAACTGGGGAATGTGAATATCTTAATTTTGTCTTTCACAATCTGAAAGAGAAAACACTGAGCTATTACCAGCATAATTTTAAAAATTACTGGTAGAATAAGGAAATTATATTTACATTTGTAGAATACTTTACTGTTTACAGAGCTCTTGCACACACATTTTCTCACTTAATTTTCAAAATAGCCCTATGAAATAGGTATAACTATCTCTATTTTACAGATGAAGAAATTAACTGAGACAGTGTGGTCCCCCAGCTTGTGGCAAAGGAGATTTAAACTCAGTGCTTTTTCCGTTGATGTAAGAGAACACTGCCCAGAGCAAACTGCTCTTCTCCAATTACTTTGCAACTGTGTTTACACTAAGCAATCCTACCTCCCTTACTTTGCTGATCTAATCAGATTCTTTTTCCCCAGACATTTGGAATAGGACAATAGTGAGTCTCCGTGACTATATGCGTTGATACCTGGGAGTTGTGGAGTGGCTGTATTTTTTTAATAAGGTACTTGGAGAAGAGAGAAAACTGGCCTTCAAAAAAAGAAGAATGAGACCAATTAAGTGACGAAAGGCCATGTGGTCACAGAGGCAAACACACATTTACACTGTGGTAGCCATGGAGATGTGTCACCCAGATCCCCTTTCAAAGAAGGACTTGCTACCCAGCCACAAGGAGTGCCGGTCAGCAGTCTCCAGCTGTCAGCTATAGCTTCAGAGAGGCCTCTTTCCCAAGACCATACCCTTTCTGGGGCAGCCTGAATCCGGTGACTGAGTGAGGCCAGATATAAAGTAAGAGGCAGTTCTGTCTGATGTGGTACATTGTAAAGGAAAATGCCTTCTTCAGAGCTAATCATCAGGTTGTCTGATGCTCTGTGAGACCTGCATCACAATTTAAATTCTCTCTGGCCAATCATGCTTTCTTCCCTTTCTTTTCACAGGAATTGATCTCAAATAACTCCTATTGGCATCTATTTCTGAATAACCAAAACTGCAACACATCATAAAACATATCCATACAAAATAAAATTCAGACTGTCATGCTTTCTGGTTACTTGTTCTTGCCTCTTGTGTGGACACAGCTGCACTTCCACTTCCTGGCTTTCATCTTAAGCTGGTTTAAGTGCAAACAAAGGGCTTTGACCAGAACATTAATTTTCTGTTTCAATACTGCCAATAATAGCCATGTAATCTTGGGCAAATCTTTCTATTTCTTTGGGTTTTTATTTTCTTATCTGTCCTTCAAGGGGTCAGGAAAGACCCTTCTAATCCTTACTCTATAGTCAACCAGACAGTTGACTACACACAGTGCCGCTGAGCCACCAAAATGGTTTTAACCATTCTTAATATATACTTGCTCACTGTATTTCAGTCTCTTTCCTAGAAAGCATTCCCAGATTTCTAACTGTTAAACTGAACCCAATTATGATTTTGGCAAAGGACCAGGCCCAAAATAGTTAGGAGAGCTGCACCATGATGCCCAGTGCAGGGACGGGAGACAGAGAGGATAGGGTGCAGTAAGATGTTTCAATCCTATACTGAAGGAGCTGGGCTGTATCTCTGCTCCACTGAAGTGGAAAAGGGAAGGAAAAGGGCTTGAGAAACTGAATAGGAATTCAGTGACAGCCCTATGTAAATTCCCTTTCTCTGTCCCTGCCCTGTCTCTGCTGTTATAGCCAATACTCTGGCTCTGTACCCCAATAACCCAAAGTTCCCTCCTTTAGGACTACTCAAGCCTCACTTTTCCTTTGAAACTGCCATTCAATGATACCACCATAATCGCTGATGTTCCCATTAAAACTTCAGTTCCATGGTGTTGCTTACTTAACTTAGGTAAGTAATTAGCTGTGATGCTGTCAAGGATCCTTACTGGTTTAATAATTGTCCTTTTCCAGTGCCTGTGGAAAAAAAAAATACAGATTATAAGAAGACTAAATGGGGGAAATATGACAAAAGTTCCAAATGTGCAGCCTTTATGTTTCCGATCAGTAGTTTCAGAACTTTCTCTGTGATGTTAAATGGAAATCTAGATGATTTTATTCTCTTGAGGATCAATACTCCCTCTTATTGCTCCTAACTCCCAAATTTTGTCTTAAGCAAAGCCACACAGATTATGTCATCTAACCTCTTTTCCTAGTGTAAACTTGTAATCTAGCCTGAAAATCCAGGCAGACTCTCTTTGACTCCATGGGTAGCTGGTACCCCTAAGTATCTCCAAAAGAGACTAGCTATATGATTTCTCTGGACGCTTCTTCCTCACAACCCAATAGATTTTACTAAACTCTTTCAACTTCGATACTTCCTCCAGCACTACTTAATCGGTGGTGCTCCAACTAAGGTTTTAAAATTACCATTCTTCCTTACTCTGCTCAATCATTCAAAATTCCCATTCCCTGAACAATGTGTGAATGAATGATAACAGCTAAATGCCCTGCAAATTATAACAGCGGGTAGTAAACAAAGCAGCCCATAGCTAAGATGCTATTTCTTTGGAGCCTTCTTGCTTAGCGAGAAAACTATGTATCTCACAGACATGATACGTAGATTAGATGAACACCTAATGCTTGGTATGTAATAATAATAATTTTAAAAAGTAATTGAAACATACAAGAGTGATTTTAGATTTTTTTTTGTATTCTTCCGTGTATTTTTTAAATCTAGTCCTGAGAATTGAACTTTTGGCCCAGTCTTTAAATACTAAAAATAAATTATACACACACACACACACACACACACATTTATTTTCTCTTAGAATCCTGTAGGGTGCTGGGAATGGGGAACTGGCTGATGTGGGCTCTTACTGACAAAGAACTGAAAGAATAAAAACGAATGCCTTCTTTCCTACCTAAAACCTATCGGGATTCCCAGAAATAATAGCCACCATATATTGATTTTGTTTGTCACTGCTAGCTTATTTTCATGCACGAATCGATTGGATCTTCACAATAACACTAAGAGATTTGTAACATCATCCATCGTCTGAAGCTTGGAGAGGCGTAATGTTAGGTGTTTCCTCCACTGTCGCACAAGATTAGATTTAATCTTTAATACAGATTAGGGTGTGCCTTCCCAGTCCAAGACTATGGGTTTAGCGTCCCTCTTCGCCCGAGCCTTCCAGTTTCTTTGACAGAGGAATATAGTCACGCGCAGAGGGTGGGGCGGGAGGCGGCCTCCCCAGGGGAGGGGTTTGGAGAAGCCCCACCTCTAAGGCGGGACCATGATGGGCGTGTCCTAACGCCAATTCTCTCAGAGCCTCTGAGCCGCAGAGCCGTAAAGAATTCTACGAGTCGTGAAGTGGCGAGGAGCGAAAGCGTTGCTTTACGGCGACTTGGAAGAACACGCCAAGCCGGCGTTCAGTGCTGGAGACTTCCCGATCATACACGTGGCCCTCTGCCCGGGATCTGTCCGATAATTCTTACCTGTTGGTGTGGACCAGCCACATTGAAGGATACAGTGGCAGCGGAGGCCAGGGGTCGTGAGCTGATGGATTTTGCTGCTGAGAAAGAAGGGACGTCGAGAGACGGTCTCCAAGTTGGAGCTGCGGGGTTGCGGCTGAGTCTCCAGTCGGGTAGGGAGGGAGTCGGGGGCATAGCAAGGACAGAGGAGGCCGGCGGTGGAGAGATGGATTATGGACCGACAGGAATGGAGACAGTAGGGGATAGACAAGAAGAAAATGGACAAAAGGCAGACGAAATGCGAGTGGATCTAACGGTCGTGAAGCAAGAAGTTGTGGACTGGTCGGAAATGGAAGAAGGTATGCGGAATGGCCAGTGGGTAAAGCAGGAGGTAGAGGATAAGCCTGAGGTGAAGGAAGAGAAACCAGTCATATTAGAGGTGAAGCAGGAGATGGATAGTGGTTTGGTGGTGAAAGAAGAGAAAGTGGAAGAACCAGAAGTAAAGGAAGAGAAAGTGAAAGTGAAGGAAGAGGTGATGGACTGGCTAGAGGTGAAGGAAGAGAAGAAAGATAACTTGGAGATAAAACAGGAGGAGACGTTTGTTGGTCAGAACATAAAAGAGGAGGAAGTAATGGATGAAGTATGTGTAAAAGAAGAAAATTATTTCCCGAAAAAAGAAATGATGGATGATACAAAAATGAAAGAAGAGCCTCAGATGAATTCCCCAGTGGGCTCCAAGCGAAAACTGGCCATGTCAAGGTAGGATAGTGAAAAATCCACTGGGGAATAAAGCTGTGGAGTCCTCTGTTGTCTAGATTGAAGGAAACTACACTACTAACAGGGTGTAGAATAATGAAAAATAAATGCAAATTTGGGGCCCTGAGGCCTGAGTGGTGGGAGTGGGGGAGTGGGAAATTGGGAAGGAGGGTTTTGTCAGATAACAACAAATTCAGTGAAAATATGTGAAGTTACTGGTGTCCAGTGGGCAAGTTAGGAGGTGAAAATTCTGGGAACCAGAAAACCTTTGGCCCTGATTCTGGTTTGACTTAATATGCCCTTCACTCAGTATTTGTTTGAAAGAGGATGGAGATGAGGAAAAGTAATAAAACTAACAATGACAAAGTGGATTAAGATAGCAGAGATGCACTTGAACTCACCCAATTGTCTGGTTTCTCTGTGGGTACTATGAATATGTATTACTTTTGATTTAATCTCCCAATAGTGACAGCACAGAAAATAAAAGGGTGGTCAGATTCTTGGGACTATTACTATCTAGAACACAACAGGCAAAATAGTGTGGTTGTCAGTATCCTAAGGTCCTAGAAGAGCAGTTGAAGACAGATGATGGGTAATAGCATTTCTTGATTATTTTGATGCCCATTCTATGTTGGGTCTGGGTTGTGAAAAAAAAAAAGATGTAACTGCTACTCTCTAAATTCAACTGGGTCTTATATGCTTTTGTTGGTGTGCCCTTAAGATAGCTAAAAGTAGCTCATGGATTGGACTTCCGGGTTTATGTACATACTCACATAATCATTAATAGATTGCCAGGAATTTCATGTTAAAATATTAAATAATCTTATTCTCTGATTATAGAAGAAAACAGTGAAAAGTGACATGATTTTTTTTAATTTAATACATTTTTTATTACATATCACTAACAACATTTTAAATGTTCTCATTTGAAGATGGTTTCCTAGAAGAAAATTTTCTAACGATGTTTTACAGCTATCAAGTGTTTTATCAGAGTTCCTTGCATATACTGTATTCGCTATGACTTCGTCTAATTTAATTGTGATGAGTAATTGACTCAAAAGTTTTTATAAACAAATAAGTAGAATTAATATTTGATAATTTATTTAGTTTCATGTGGGCTTTTGTAGGTGTGAAACTTGTGGTACAGAAGAAGCAAAGTACCGATGTCCCCGTTGTATGCGATATTCCTGCAGGTATGTGTGTGTGTGTGTGTGTGTATAATTTCCTACCTTATTACCTCTATATATCTTTACTGTTGTTACCTCAAAGTATAAAAGAACTTCCTCTTTGTTTCTTCAGTTTGCCCTGTGTAAAGAAACACAAAGCAGAACTGACATGTAATGGAGTTCGAGATAAAACTGCATATGTTTCAGTACAACAGTTTACTGAAATGAATCTCTTAAGTGGTAAGCCATCTTATGCATAGCAGATTGATGCTTCCTGGCCATTGGCATATGCCATTTGTTTATTTTTCTATTTCTAAATTTTTAGATTATCGATTTTTGGAAGACGTTGCAAGAACAGCAGACCATATTTCCAGAGATACTTTACTGAAAAGACCATTAAGCAATAAACATGTAAGTATTTCCTCTAAGCCCTTTTAGTTAGAATTTTTTCTAATTGATTAGACTCGTTTTTATTCAACAAATGTGTTAACTGGTTACTGTGGTCTGGGGCTATTCCAGTCATTAGGGATATAGCAGTGACCAAAACAAAGTCCTTCCCCTCTTGGAGCTTGTAGGGTGAGAGACAGATGAGCAGAGCACATATAATTTCAGATAGGGTTAAGTGCATGTGGAAAATAAAGCACAAGAGATTAAAGAAAATGAGAATGATGTTTGTTTAGAGGTTGTGAGGGTACCATTTTTGAGACAGTGGTCAGGAGAGGCTTGAGAGATATTTAAGCAGCCATCTGAATGATGAGAAAGAGGCAGTCATGTGAACATTTGGAAGAGGACTATACCACATAGAGACAGAAACAAAGGCTCTGAGTCAGGAACTAGATTGGTGTGTTTCAGGAATTAAAAAGGCAAGGTGACTGAAGCATAGTTGAGTGAGGAGAATGTCAAATATGAGGTTAGAGAAACTGGTGAAGGCTCTCATTTATTCTGAGTAATCCATGGGAGGGTTTTGAGCATGTTTCCTTTTTGAAAGATCATTCTCGTTGCTGTCAGGAAAATGGACTAAGTGGAAGATTGGAAGCAAGGAGACTAGTTACAAAGCTATTGCTGTGGTTCAGATGAAACATGGTGGCTTGGATAATGCCATTGGAATTATTAAGAAGTAATTAGATTCTGGTTTTGAAGGAAGAGCTAACAGGACTTGCTATTTAAATACACTGAATTTTCATACTCTTTTCATCCTTTTTTCATTCGTTGAACACTTCAAAATTAAAGCTTACATATTTGAAATATTTTGCAATTGCTGTTATTGCAGAAATTTTTAATATTGTTATTAGGTCATGTCATGGAATTATGTTCATTTTTCAGAGACTGTTTTAGTATTGAAGTTGCAGAATTTTAATACCCTTTAAACCTATCATATTGGTACAGACATGATGTTACACATATCTGAAAGATCGATTATCATCAACTCTTTTTCACAAGCTTAATTAGGTATATAAAATTTCTACTTAAAAGAAATATTACTTAATTTTTTATTGTGAAGTACGACATGCACATTAAAGGATAAAAGAAATAACCATTTAATGAATACTTATAAAGTGAACATCCATGTAACTACCACCCAAGTCTAAAATTAGAACATTTGCCAGTTTCTCAAAAGTTTCCTGCAACCTCTTTATGCCCTTCCCCAATCCATTCTTGTTTCTGAACAGTTTTCTAGTTTAGGACCATACCACAATTTGTTTATCTAGTCTATTCTTCATGAGCTTTGGATTTTCTGTAATAACAAAAGAATTTAGAAATAGTGCTACCATGAACAATTTTTTTATGAATTGCGATTTGCATGTGCATATGTTTTTCCAGGGTTTATTCCACCTGGGAGTAGAATTGCTTTGTTGGGTGTGCATATTTTCAGTTTGACTAGATGCTTCCAAACATTTTCCAAAGTGGTTATACCAACTCCCAATGGTGTATAAGTGAACCTATTGTCACATCCTATATAATATTTGATTTGTCCAGAGTTTTAAAATTTTTGTCAGTTGATGGCTGTGTAATTTTATTATGGCTTTTAATTTGCAGTTCTCTGATTCCTAATGAGATTGAGCACCTTTCAAATATTTTATTGGCCATTTGAATTTTCTCTTTGGTAGAATACCTAGTCACATCTTTTGCTTATCTTTTCATTAGTGAAATTTCTCTTACTGGTTTGTAGGAATTTTTTAAATTTTTTGGACACCAGTTGATAGTTCTATATGTGATAAATACCTTCTTCCATTCTGTGGCTTGTTTTTTACTCTCTGTGGTATCTTTTGCTGAACAGATTGTTCTTAATTTTAATGTCAACTTTATTTTGTTTCCCGAGTAGTTAGTTAGTAGTTTTATGTGTTTATAAAGAAATCCGTCCCTACCTTGAAGTTATAAAGCTATTCTCCCATAGTTATTTTCTAAAAGCTTTATAATGTTGCATCTCACATTTAGTCTAAATTACCTGGAATTAATTTTTGTGTATCATGTGAAGTGGAGGTCCTGTTAAATTTTTTACATGGATAATCTACTTTTCCTAGCACCATTTTTTGAAAAGTTCATCTTTTCACTGTTGCTCTGCAGGACCACCTTTGTCATATAATCAAGCATCCATATGTGCTTGGGTCAGTTTCTGGCCTCTGTTCCATTCTGATGGTCTACTTGTCTATCCACACCAATACTACACTTTCTGAATTCTTGTAGTTTTTTTACTGAAATTTGCTGTCTGATAGAGTAAGTCTTCCCACTTTGTTCATTTTCTAGAGTATAACTATACTCTATTTCCTAGAGTATAATAGAGTGTAATTTTATACAAATAGGAAAAATCGGTCCATTTTCTCCCCACCTGGGAGTTTGGATTGAGTTGCATTTATTATATAGAATAACTTAAGTGATTGGGTTTCTTTATAGCATTGAATCTTTAAATCTTTGGTTGTGTTGTATCTCTGCATTTATTTGGGGCTTCTTTAATATCTCTCTATAATTTTCTCAGTGGAGGTCGTGCACATTTTTTGTTAGATTTATTTTTGGACACTTTATTTCTTCTTTTTTTTTTTAACAGCATTTTCTTTTTAATTTTTTATTGTCTCTTTGCTGGTATTTAGGAATGAGGGTTTTTTTGTTGTTTATTTTATAGTGAGCAACCATATTAAAATCTATCCCAGTACCTTATCTATAGAGTCTTTAGATTTTCTCTGTAAACAATCACAATTTGTTTCTATTGTTCTTTTAATCATTTTCCCCCCTTATTGGAATAGTTAGGACTTCCAATTAAATGCCGAAATACTAGTGATTGATAGTAGATATTAATATTATAAGTCCCAAGTTCACCCCTAGGTTTGATGATTTTGCTAAAAGGATCCACAGGACTCAACATAGAGTTGTACTCATGGCTATAATTTATTAGAGTGAAAAAGGGTACAGAGCAAAATTAGCAAAAAGGAAAAGCATGAGAGTAAAGTCTAGAGGAATTCAGCTGTAGGTTTCTAATAGTCCTCTTCCATCGGAGTCACATAGTACACAGTTAATTCCTCTGGCAATGAGTTGTGATGACATGTGTTAAGTACTGTCAACCAGTGAAGCCCATTAGCCACTACCCAAGGTTTTTATTGGGAGCTCTTCATAGAAGTACCCTCTGCCTAGCATGTGCCAAATCCTAGACTCCCAGAAGGAAATCAGATAAAGCCACATTCTGTATACAAACAATTTAGGTACAGTGAACCACTCTC